CGGGGAGCCTGCTTCTCCCTCTGACCCTATCCCCTCTCATACTGTTTCTCTCTCTCTCTCTCTCTCTCAAATAAATAAATAAAATCTTTAAAAAATAAAAAAAAAATAAAAGTAGTAGAATCTGCTTCATATTCTATTTTAAATATTTATGGTTTTTAGAAAACATTATCCTCTTTATAAAGTGAAACCATTTTAAAGGGTGGTGAGTGTGTCCCTCATGTGAAATGTGGACATTGGTATGATTCAGGTGTGAGTGCTCATGGTTTATTCATTAGGCAACTTTAAATTACTTTTATTCTTGGTCCTGTTATTTAATGTTTACCTGTAATGGTTTATTGGTTAAAAATAGGAAGTATTAGGAAATTGTTGAAAACTACAAAAATAAATTAGCATTTTTCCTCCAGTAGGCTTCACCATATAGATAGTTGTGTTCATCTGGAAAAAAATCTTATATAACATATCAAGATGTCTTTTATGCTTTAACTTGTGTTTAAAATGGCAAACCCCAGTGATGATTTAATCATTTACATTTACAGGGATAAAAGACAATTTATACTTGAAATGTGGTATTTGTAGATAATTGTTATGAGATGCCTGAATGCATTTTATTATCTCATAATTTTAGAAGCAAGCACATCAAATTTTAAAAATATATTATTTGTTTTTAAAAAGTGGGTCATGTAGATTCAAAATACTAGGTCATGAAAGTGTTTTTGTTTTTGATGCTGCAATATGTGGTTTAATTTCAGTCCACAATTCCATATATATTTGGTTCTTAAACCAAACACTATGCCATTTAAAAATGTTTTTGTTGCCATATTAACTTAAAGTAAATTTAGTGTGCCTTACTTGTTAAGGAAGCCTTGACTTTCTGAGTTTTTCACTGGCTCTGGGCTTCTGGGAATCACGATGACCACAGTCTAATGTTGGGTTAATTTGTAAAATGAACAATGGTGTTTTCAGACTTAAAATCCTCAAAGGATTATTTCTGTTTGGTTCTCTGTAAAAAGATAAACAGTCAGGGGGCTGGCAGGAGTTTTTGGAAGTACCAAGAGGACTAACACTTAAACGGGAGAGTAAAGAGCAGTAGGGATGATCTGTGGGTGCATCAGCCCCTTCTTCTGTCTCAGCTTCTTTGTTTCTGGTCCTGCTATCCCTGGGCTCATGTAGCCCATGCAAAAAGAGTGGTGTGTAAATAATTTTTAGTGCTTTTTGGAAAATAATGTGAGTAGTGTTTTTATTTTTAAATGCCAATCAATAAAGATTTATCTAAGTTTTACTTCGTAATTATGATTACATAGGAATCATTGGGAAGAAGTACATGTTTTTTAAGGACCCTGTGTTTTTTTCACTTCCAGTGTCACTTTTATCTGTGGTCTTACTTTATGTGGTGAATCGTGCCCAAGGTAGGTAGAATTCAGACATTTTCTTCTTAAACCACTCTGGATCATCTTGTGGGGTCCCTGGATTGTCTGCATTCTTCTTTAGAGGCCAGTGCTTTAGTTCGTGTAATGATGACATTCAGTTCCATAGTGATGGAAACACATTTCATTATGTAACATACAATTATGTATTTTGGAACTTCAGATTTATTAAAATTGTTGTCGTGTTCTTTCTGGCCAGTTCAACTTAAGTTTTGTAATATAAAATTTTAGATGTTCTTTTTATGTTAGCATAAAGAAGTATGGCATTTTTATAATAACCTAAAGCCATTACTGTGTTATTGTCTCATGTTTTAAAAAAATAAGTAAACAGATTTATAGTAATAGTTTGCATTTTAAGGTTGAAAGTGTTTGCTACAGAGTGAGGTGTTACAGATTTTTTTCTTTTGCTAGTGTATTTGTACTTTTTTCTTTCTTCTGTATAAGATTTTGATGTTAGCCTTATTAATTTTTCTAAGTAGCTTGCCCCTAAAGGTTGTTATGTACTTAGTAAAATGTATATACCTGCTGTTTAAGTGATTTTAGGTCATTTCCTTTAATTTCTCTTAATTTTCACTATTATTAAATATTAATACAGTGTCCCAGTTAATAAGAAGTAAAGCAGTACATAAGTCCAAACTTAAAAAATGCTCACATTAAGGACTGATTATTTGTATTTGTATCATATAAAGATTCTTAAAAACCAGTGTTTTCCCTTGGGATGGTCCCAGGAGATAAACTATTTCTTTCTCATCTTCCATAGCTTTTTCTGTTACTTTAAGGTATACCAGTGCAAGTGTGTGTGTGTGTGTGAATTTTACTTTTAATAGTTGTGTAGAAAAGGTTCTATGCTTATTTGTGTTTTAGGGGGGAACCTAAATTATTCTGCAAGACAAAGGGAAGAAATAAAACTTTCTCATGCTGAGTAAGTATTAAAAGAGAAAAGTTATCTTCTTTTGCAAATCTCTAACATTAGCATTTTATTTCAAAGTATTAGGTTTGGACTTTTAAGAAATTAATCTTCTTGAGATTCGAGAGCTAGCGATTATCTTGGAACTACCATAACAAAATTCTTGTTTAGAAAATTTAAATAGGATGTATATCAAGGGTTAAAGTGAAGGGGGAAAATAATTGGGTTTTAAATTGCTTTCTGAGAGAAAGCGAGACCTGTAGTATTTGTAATGTATTAGAGGAAAGGTCTTTGTCCTAAGCTTCTGTGCTGGGCTTACCCTTCCATTCTCTGATCTTTTCATTTTCTCAACTATTTGAGATAATTTTTCATCTTCTCCTGGTACTAACATTCTAACTTAAACAAATTAAGTATATAGTGTGGTATTAAGTTAAACTTATTTTTTCCATGAGTGTATGCTAAAACGTAATAGTGTTTCTATTTCCTGTTATGATTTCTGATTTTTTAGATATACAGTTTTTTACGACTTAAAAAATTTATTTGTAAATATATACCATGTAACTATAAGTTTTGTGAATTTTGTATGGGTTAAAATCTTGTAGAACAAAGCATTTTTTGGGAGGTGATTCTTGGCCATTTCAAATTTCCTTTTAACATAGTAATTCTAGAAATACATCTTGAGAAGATAATCAGAAGTGTTACAAGTTTTAAGTATCTTTATGACAGGCTTACGTCAAAAAATTGGAAACAACTTGAATATATCTATATATAATATGTTGTTAAAATCATGTCTGAGGATTTTAAAAGTCAGAAATAGTTCCCTCCCTGCACCAAGTCAGAGGTACTTACCATGCCACATGTTAAGTAGACAAAAGATTAAAATGCAAATGTAATATCCTAATTTTGTTCAAGAAAAAGTATGCAGGCACATGTATTTTTTACTTACTTACTTGTATATAATAGAAGAAATACTGAAAGGAAAAACCCCAAATACTAACAATTCCATTTGAATGGTAAGGTTACAGGCATACTTTTTCCTTTGTTTTTCTATATTTTCCAGATCTTCTATGTTGATCTTAATGTTACTTTTATAATCAAGAGGATTTAAGAGATTACCAGCAAAGTGTGCAACCTTTAATATGTGGTAGTACATGCTTTGCAATGCTAATGGTTTTTATATTGTAAACCCATGAGGCCTCCTGTTTTTCCCTTTTTGATAATTCATTGCATTGTGTTTTGCAGATGAGAAGCTTAAATGACTGTGTCATGAGAATGGGCTGCACACATCATTGGTTTGAAAACCTCACTTTTTTTTTTTAAATTTTAATCTAGAATTTAGTCAGGAAAAATAATGGTCTGGAAATATATATTTATATTTCAAAAGCACCTATTTCAAAGTATATTTGTGAGGACTATTTTAGCTTGTGTCTTATGTACTGTGTATTGCTAAAGAATTCTACTTTGGAGTAGGCTAATCAGTGAAGTTTAGAAAGTTTCTCTGGAATATGCAGGTGAATTTGAGTAAGGACAGTAAATAATGGAAAACTTGGATCTTGTATTGAGATCCAATTAATTTTCAGAAGGTGTTTCTTAAGGATATCTTTGGCTTTTTTTTTTTAATCTTAAAGCAAAAAAACTTTTGAAGGTGTAGAAGGGATATTTTATACAGAATAAACAATGGCATTTTAATAGGCATTCCCTGTTTTTTTTTTTTATTAATTCTTATCTTAATCCCCATACATTACATCATTAGTTTTAGATGAAGTGTTCCATGATTCATTGTTTGTGCATAACACCCAGTGCTCCATGCAGAATGTGCC